AAAAAAGTATTTAAAAAAAAAAAAAAAAAAAAAAAAAAAAAATATATATATATATATATATATTCGAAAACAGTTGTGCTGCTTATGGGAACAGTGCTATATTTTTACAGGATTCTTTGATGATTAGAAAGTTAAAAAAACAGCATTTATTTGAAATAGAAATGGTTTTGGAAAATTATAAGTGTATTAACTGTCACATTTATTATTTAATACGTGCTTGATCAATAGAAAAATACTTTATTTAATAAATAACGGATATATCAATTAAAAAAAGTGTATCAACTGTCACATTGATTATTTAATATACATTATTGCTATGTATTTACTCAAATCTAGTCAGGTATGGATAGCGTATTTAATTGGCCTATCTGATTCAGGTGAGCAAATTGTGATAACAGCGTGTGAATAATACAATGACTTTCAGGGAGTCGACTAATTTAAAGATATTAAAAATAGTTTTAATGGAATTTTAACATCTGTAGATTATCTTTAAATGTATATTCAACTTACCAGCCTTTTAAGTGTTTGCCATTTACTCCACTAGCACAGTTAGCTAAATGTCAATTATCTCCCCCAAAAAATAAATACATAACTGAAGTTTCTAGTTGTGTAAATCTATAATAAAGTGATATCTCTGATAGCAGATGGCATGCTTCATCGTCACACTCCCCGAAATGCAGTGAAAAACACACATGCAAGCCACACCAACACACAATAGCCTATACAAAAATGCCCCACCGCATTTTGTTATGTGTTGCATTAAATGTTCTCTTTAAAGTCAGTGGATTCTGATATGATTGGCTGGCAGTGTTTTTTGTTTTTTTTAATTGATCATCAGTTGGGAAAAAAACCACTCCATATCGTTACTTAGTGTCACTATCATTAGCTGCAATGTGGACTATATTCTCACAGAATTAGAACATTAATTAAAGCATTATAGTTATCATTAGGCCTATAGGTATTCTTATAGTGTGAAAGAACCTTAGTGTCTATTTGGCAACAAGTGAAATTATGTGTTTTGATTTGTAAATATTTTTCGAAATAATGAAATTTCTGAATGTCATGTTGAAATACATACAATTCATCAACCTTCTGTTCGATAGCTTTTGGGGTTTGAAGCTAATTCAGTGGGGATCTGACACACCTTCCACAAAAACCCAAACCACCTCCAACACGCAGCCTGCAACTGAAATAGGCTATTTGACACAAATGTTATGACAAGCAGTGCTACGTTTTATTTATTCCTTATTCCTTATTTCTTTATTTCTTTATTTTTAGAAAACCATGTATCCTCATAAAGGGGAAAAAAAACTACGAAAATCGATTCCAGGCCAAAAACTATTTTATATTTAATTTTCTAACACTGGGTTTCATCCAGCAACAAGAACCGACAAAATATCTCAATGTCATGAAGTCCAAAGTTGTATCTTATTACAAAACTTTCATATTTACTTCTTATAAACGTACAGATCCTAAAAGCCTTTTCAACCTATCATTTAAATATAAAATCGTGCACAATAGTAATTGCAGACAAAGGATAACGGGACATTAAAGACGGGAGGCGCTCCGACAATGAGGATGGAAGGTGTCTACAGACCGCAGTTATTATTACAATACACCATACGTATGCAAAACAATGCCCGTTACCAATTCCGCTATTTTTCTGTTAAAAAAGCAAACATAATATGAGCTGGTTAGCCGGTATGCTAACAGACTGCAGAAGGAAGGCACTGGCCATCACCTCGGTGCTGGAATAACTGTAGATTTATACAGCTGAGGGATGCATTAGACAGTCGCTTCAGGGGATTTACCTATGTATCTTTCATCTGACATCTGAACATTTTACCTAGTTTAAATCCTTATAATCAGCGCAATAAGGCTAGGATGCACAAGCCTCGCCTTTCTGACACATCTAATAACGGTTTGCTTGTTCCAAAGTGGCTTCCATAGATCCTACCTTCAGTGATGACAGCCCCGGTACAGGAACAAAACACTTCCGAGGAAATACGATGCTGTAATTTATTTCCAAACGGGCGGCTTTCCAAACCTAGCCAGTAAGTTTAAACAGCCCAGAAAATCCGCCGGCTCGCCTCTGAAGTGATGGAAGCGGAATGAATCCACGCGTTGCTGTGGGTATCTAGGAAATGCTCGTCTCTCTGCCGCTCCCTGCCAAATAATGAACCCTCCCAGCGAATCCCCAGCCACACACACGACAGGTGCTGAGTATGCGCTCTCCCTTCTTGCTAAATAGTGAGCCGCGCGGTGGCTCTGTACTGCGCCGGCGCTGTAAACGAGGAGAGAAAGAGCGCAGCCTGGGATGGGCGGGGCGAAGATGCTGCTGCGCATCTTTGTTAAATAGTGATGCTCAGCTGGAGGATGGAGCGCGTGCTCAATGATGTATGCTCGTTGGGTGTTCACGACTGTTTGGAATTGTGTTTTTTTTTCTGTTTGTTAGTTTTTTTGTGTAAAGCATATAGTGCAAAGCCAGTCTTGAATATAGATGTTTTAATGTAATCGAAATTATATGATTATAATATGATTTCTTGTCATTTAAAAGTAGGCTACTAAAAAACAAAACAAAAACTTTTTTTTTTTTCTCTTCTTTTTTTCTTTTGTTTTAAATGGTCAATAAATATTAAACTGTGGACAATACGTTTGTATTTTTGCTATAGTTTTACTTTTTTTTGTCCTGCACCTGAGCCCTGGGTGGGTTCGTGGGATGTGCGCTACTTTTTTACACTTTGGTAATAAAGATTAAAGACATTAATATTTTTAGAGCTGGGTGACCGATTTAATGCTAGTATAATGTACAGTGTATTGTAGATCTATGTATGGCTTAATATTGAATAAATTAATATCAGTATAGTCAATATTTATCACAATTAAAATAATTACTGAGTTTATCAGAACTGGCATTTTACAAAATAATCAATAAAAAATTACTAAAAGATTGCTGTGTTGCTCAATTTTCTTTTAGTGCTTGAATACAAGTAACTGCCATTGTATAGAGTTTAGTGAAGATTTTGCAAAAACATTACTTTTGGGACATGGGAATGAGTAAATAACAACAATTTTCATTTCTGGAAGAACGTCTCAGGTTACTTATGTAACCATGGTTCCCTGAGTAGGGAACGAGAGAACGCCTTGTCGTCATCTGTGTCTGAAGCATACATTGAAAAAACACCAACAACACGTTGGCCGGCGACAGCGATGACGTCACTACCGGCGCGACTATAGTATAAATAGGCGCCGGGAGAACACATCATCCACTTCTTCGTCTGAAGCTTGTGTCTGCAGCATGGCAAGAAACCTAGAGGACGCAGTGTCTCGTTCCCTACTCAGGGAACCATGGTTACATAAGTAACCTGAGACGTTCCCTTTCATGGGAACTCCGAACTGCGTCCTCTAGCGGTCGCTATGGGGAACAGTATACCCATGCCGCCATGTTGAGGGGAGTGCATGCCAGAAACCATGGCGAGCACTAAGTACCAACTCTACCATATTGCCATGGGAGTTGCCCCTGCGACATTAGACGCCTGTCAGTGACATTATTCCCTACGGCCAAAGGCCTAGGCTACATACCCAAAAAAACTTACCTCTCAGGGCCAGAACTCCTGGGCCCGGGGTAGAGCTCAAGGCTTGGAATCAGGAATAGATTCCTTTAAGGGAATACGACCAAGAGCCTAGAATCATACTAAGTCTTGGCCTGTCACACAGGGGCTACCGCACATTTCTCTGTATATGCTGAAGGAACTGTCTCAACAGACCCCTAGTAGCAACACCCTATTAAAGTAGGTATCCAGAGGATACATAGGCGCGATTGTAGAATCAAAAGTGTAAGCATACTGCAAGCTAGCCAAACACTCTGCTGGTTCCAGGTGCTCTGGAAAAACAGAGAACGCAACTTCTCATGTGAGAGGAGAACTCCGAATTCAGAGGAATAGTGTGCTCATTCCAGGTAACCCTTTGATAAAAGGGGAGCACTGCTCAACATTACCACGAGAACAGCCCATGGAGCGAGGAATCCAACTCCTCAGAGACAATTAAATGCTCGAAAGCCGCAGAAGCCTGTGATCTGGCCGCATGATCCAGGAAGTAAGAAGCCGAAACCCGGCTTATCATACTGTCTGGACATATATCGACGAGTGGGGGTGCTCACCGAGGACCTACCCTAGAAAAAGGACAGAAACACACAGGTCCCGGGAAACACTGCAAAGAAAGCTAGCAGAAGGGTTATACACACAACCACCAGCACATTAAATATACACACATATACATATATATATATATATAGAAATGGATCGTACTCACACACCTTGAGCGCGCCTTTGCCCGCACTCAGCTACCTCATTACGAGAAAGGCCCTCACCTTTATCCAGGTCTTTCAGCAGGCCAGCCTGATATGCTTGGGGCATCACCATCGTGTGCAATGAAGTGACAGCCTGACCTGCTGCTGCTGCGGATGCCCTGGCATTAGCGAGATGTCAAGGAGGGAGTCTTAAAAGCCGACGTCTCACCCATAGAGAGATAGCTGGCCAGCATCTCTCTATAGGGGCGTCTTCTCATAACCACTTTCGCGCATCGCCTCGATGTTGGCATAACTCGTATGCTAGAATCGATGGATGCGTGAGGAAAAAAAACGGCCTCTTCCATTCCTTCTCAATGTCTGTATGGAAACCAGGAAGAAAGGAAGGCTCACCTGAGCTAGAAGGTTATGGCCAGAAAAAATAACGTTCATCGAGATGACCTCGCAACGTTACTTTCTTCGCCCGCTTCACGGCAAGTAAAGCCTCGCCGTGGCGCGATCCATAACTTTCAAAAGCTCATCATACGCAGGGCAGGAGGATTGGGAAGGCTCAGTCTCAGCTTCTTTGCCCTCCTCAGATATTTCCTGCTTTTGCTGTGCCGAACCCAGCAGAGCACTGGCCCCTGAATCAGACAATGTTAATGAAGTAACATATCCTCCAGTGGCTCACTCTCGTCCACAGCCGACGATCGCAAGAGGAAAAACCCCTCTTCAAACTCATCGGCCAGATCCACCTGTGATCCCAGTACAAATAACGCATAGATCGTGTGTGTCATCGGATGTTAAACAACGACAACACGGATGCACACATCCTCTTAAATGCTTTGCTAGTGCTTGCCATAATGATATGAAGAGATCGCTCTTACCACAGAAATGCACGCTTCAAACAAAACAGTCAATGAAGACGAAGAAGAGGATGATGTGTTCTCCCGGCGACTATTTATACTATAGTTGCGCCGGTAGTGATGTCATGGCTGTTGCCGGCCAACGAGTTATTGGTGTTTTTTCAATGTATGCTTCAGACACGGGTCACGATGAGGCGTTCCCCATAGCGACCCCTAGAGGACGCAGTTCGAAGTTCCCATGAAAGGGAACTATTCTTATACATTTTTTTTAATACAGGCTCTCTGACTCTCTGACCCCGGTGAACTCAGGGTTGTGGGCATCATTGTTCTTTCGGGTGTATGTTCACCATGCTGTGCCATGCTGTGTCAGTTATACATCAGAAGGCTGTCAGGGCCACAGGGACAGAAATATTCATAACTATGCCACACAAATCCTGACCAGCTCTCGACAATGATAAAAGCAGTATTCCAATTTGATTATATTAGTCCACATCTTATTAAATGTGATTTCTCTGAAAAGATTTTTAAAAAGCATTGAATGGTGATTATACTGTCTGAAAAGGCTTACACAGCCTTATTGGTGTAACAACAGCTTGTTTCTTTTTCTTTTTTCTCTTTTTTTTGCTGATACGCACACTTCCACCTTGCCAGAGATTGGCAGTATGCATAATAAATGTGCTGAGTAAGTGAGAGGTTTACATATTCATAAAGATATAGTAAGTGAGCACCAGTATAGCAGAAAGACCTTCCGTCTGTTTAAAAACAGAACATTTTGGAAGGTTAAATGCCTTATAAAAAAATTAAATCTACTACATGCACATGAAATTGTTCAAAATACATTAAAGGAATAGTTCACCCAAAAATGTAAATTTGCCTGAAAATTTACTCACCCGCAGGCCATCCAATATGTAAATGAGTTTGTTTATTTGTCAGAACAGGTTTGAAGAAATGTAGCATTACATCACTTGCTCACCAATGGATCCTCTTTAGTGAATGAGTGCCGTCAGAATGAGAGTTCAAACAGCTGATAAAAGCATCAAAATAATTGACCAGTCCATCAATTCACATCTTGTGAAGTGCACTGCTGCATGCTTCTAATAAACAAATTTAAGGCATTTTAAATTTAAACTGTCTCTTCTGGCCACAATATGAGTCCATAATCCATAATAACGCATCCTCCAGTGAAAAAGTCCATCTCTTGTTGTCCTCTCACATAAAAATCTAAAAATTTGTTTAGAACTGTTTTGGACTGTTTTCGCTTGTAAATGGTGCTTGATCCATGTATATTTCTCTCCTGAGTCAAATAACTTTTTCACTGGAGAAAGCAATATCGTGGTTAGAGTTATATTTATATTTTATCAAGCAATATGAAGTTAAAAACATCTTAATGATGGATTTGTTGCAGCTATTGTAGCTATTGCAGCTATTAACATGCAGCTATTTACTTCACAAGACAATAACTTGTAGATAGGCAATGTAGATTGATGCAAATCAACTGTTGTCTTTAAACTATTCTCTTTTGCTTATTGGAATTAATGCAAATTCATTCTAAATGACTAAGTAACTACCCAACCACAAAATCTGAAGGTCATGAGTAACGTTCTGCTTCAGTTGCATCACATTTCAGACTGTGTTTACAGACACATGCTCATCAATGCTACAGAGGCTTCCGCTTGAGCAATGTACGTTTGCTGAATTCGAAGACAAATCGCAGAGCCGGGAGTAAGTAGGCAATTACAAAAAGCTGAAGTTGTGCTTTGCATGGAAAACAGGATTAAACTTGAGTTCCAGCCAAAATTTTAGGTCAGTTGTGAATGACTTTAATGCATCCTTTGGGACGCAATAAACTTAAACATGCTTGCTGAATTCTGTGAAATTTAACAGGTGGGGTAAGCACAGGTGGCTTTACAGTTCAGTAATAAATATTGTAAAGCTGCACAATTACCCTTTGCCTTCTGTTCTATTATGACGGTAAAATATGTGGTCACACACCGCTGTCTTGTGTCTGACTGTATGACAGTAGCCCAGCTCAGACTGTTTGAGGGTTTGGATGTT